TTCTCCAAAGTTGTTGTGAGTGATTGTAGTTCTGTGAGGTTCAAGTGTGCTGATTGGTGGATGTCCTGGTCCATCTGTTGGAGTGAATAGAGTTGTTCTAAGTGTTGTGTGGTGTCTTATCCAGTGTTCACCTTGTCTTTCCCAGTAGTCTTGGTTGTCCTCCTGTGCTGTGAGTGGTCTGTGGATTGTCTCCTTTGGTTGTGCGGTGTCAAGATTTGTAGAAGGTGCTGCTTTAGGTCTCCATATCTTTTGTGGTGCTCGTAGTTGGATCTTTGATCTGGTTGGTGGTGTGTCCATTAGCCGTTGTGGTTGTGAGCTCTGCCTTGTTGGTGTTGTCTTTGATGTTGCTCTGCGTGTAGGTGTTATCTTTCTTCTGACTCTGAAATTCTCCAGTCCAGTTGTCACCTTCTAGTCTTCGTTGTAGTTCTTGCTTGGAAAGTTGTGTTGGGTTCTCTTGTAGTTGTTCTTGCTCTTGCCCTTGTCTGTTGATGATGGTTAGTCGCCAATCATCTAGTTCTTCTTCAGGTATTGGGCAACCACTGTTGTGTGGTGTGAATAGTGCTTTGCGTGGTCGTTTGTGTGCTCTGATGGCGTAGTCACCACCAGTAGTCAGTGTTTCCACCAAGGATCTGTCGTAGTCCTTGGTCTGTGTGTGTGAGTGGTGCGATTTGTTCTTGTTGTTGTGCTGCTCTCTCTGTACATTGAATCACAGCAATGGATTTTCCACTGTCTGTAGTCATTGGATAGATGTCGAATTTTGTAGGGATGTCGATCTTCTCTGCTCGTAGGTAGAAAAGTCCTGAGTGTCTGATGAGGTGTGCTTGTTGTTGTCCATGTGTGATGGTGCAGTGTCGTGGAGTGAAGTCAAGTCCATATCCTCTATCAAGTAGTCTTGATGCACTGAGGATTGGGTACTTCACATCACAAACGTAGTAGGGTATCATGATCCTGAAGTTGTCCTGCTTGTAGGGAACGTACTTGATGCCGTAGACAGGAATCTTCTTGTTGGTAACCGTGTAGAGTTGTGGAACCGATTCTCCACAAGGTCGTAGCGGTAGGTCTGGTGCGTAGTCCTTCGGGCAAACGTGTGTAGACGCTCCTGAGTCGATCAGCAGGTGGTGGTATGACTTGAAGTTGGAGTACATGATGTAGTGTGTGATAGTGTTCTCAATCTTCTTGTTCCTTTGTTGTTGTCTGGCTGCTGCTATATCAAAGTGTGGCTGTGTGTTGTCTTCTTGTAGGAATTGTTGAAAGCTCTTGCTGTGGTCGTTCCATGATGTTGTGTGTGTTGTTCTCTTGCCAAGTAGTGATTTGGATTTGTGCTTGTGTAGTCGTGAGTTTGCTTGTCTGATGTGTCCAATTGTGAGGTGTGACTCGTTGATGCCTCCAATGTAGTTTGCTGTGTCCTCATAGCTGTTGTCATTCCAATCCCAGCTGTTGTCATAGTCGTAGTCGTTCCAGTTCTCCTCCATGTAGTTCACCTCGTGTTGTCCTTCTTCTCCTTCGTAGTACCAGTCCCAAGTGTCGTTCACATCCTGAGGTAGTTCTTCATTGTTGTCGTGATCTGCTTGTTCTTGTTCTAGTGGATGTAGTTCTTCTCCTTCTCCTATGTGCCATACTGGCACTCTGCAGTCTTGTGCCCAGTGGCCTGGTTTGCCACATCGATGGCATGTTGTGTAATTGTTGTTTCCTTTTCCTTTTGATTTGCTGTAGTTTCCTTGGCCTTTGTAGCCTTTGCTTGATCCATGTCCTTTGGATCCTGAGTAGCCTTTTCCTTTGTTCTTGTTGTATCCTCCTTTGTTGTAGTTTCCTTTGCTGCCTTTGTCGAATCCTTTGTATTGGCCTTTGCTTCTGTACTTACCTTTTCCTTTGTTTCCTTTGTAGTGTCCTTTGCCTCCATATCTGCCTTTGCCTTTGTAGTTTCTTCCTTTTCTCCAAATGTTGTCCACGTCCATCGGTGCTGTCCCACCATTGTAGTTTGTGCCAACTGCTGAGCTCGCTCTTGAGAATGCAGAGATGGTTTTGTAGTAGTCCAGGATGACAACTCTGATCTCGTTGTAGTTCGTGATCTGTCCAGCACGTAGTTGGAGATGCTGTTGGAGTGCTCCTTTGGTCTTGTTGAGTAGTATTGCAATCTTTACTCCATCTGGTAGCGCTGTGCCGTTGTCTTTCTCGTAGCGGTTGATGTCGTATTCCCACTGTAGGAATTGTTCTTCAAATTGTGCTTCATTGAATGTAGGTTCCAGTAGTTTGGTGAGGTAGCCAACACTGCGTGTTCCTACTGGTAGGCTGAACCTGTTGTGCAAAAGCCGTAGTGTTTCACATCCATTGGCATTGTAGCGGTTTTGTCTAACCACTGTAGCTGCTGCTCCTTGGCAGATGTTGATGAGGATGTAGTGTAGATCTCGTGAGAGGTCTGCTGCTTTTGCTGCCTGTGTAGGGTCGCGTATGTGGGCTCTGATGTCTGCATCTTCAATTTGTCTTGTAGCTGCTTGTGCTAGTTGTAGCACCATGTCGAAGTCTCGGCCGATAAGTCCGAGATATGCTTGTAGTTTGAACAGCCACTCTTCATACTGTGAGTAGTCACCAGTGAAGAACGGTGGTGGCAGTTTGTATTTGTGTAGCCTTTGGACGTCTTCCTGCTCCTGTGTTGTTCCCGTAGTTGTGGCTCCTATTGTCTCTTCTGCTGTGGGCCCGTTGTCTGCTCCTGTAGTTGGTTGTGCTGATGCTGCTGCTGGTTCTCCTGACATGTCGTAGTAGTTGGGCATGTTGGTTGCCTGTGCAGTTGTAGTACTTACTGCTGTTACTGGAGCTCCCCTATGTTTAGGATCTCAGCTCCGCTACCACGTTAAAATACGTTGATACTTTACTTCTAGTGCAAGTGTTGTTCAGTTATCACAAACACAAATGTAGTCAGCCAGCATGCACTCTTTTCCTGGTAGACTCAAGGCCTGCAGTCGGGTAGTGTACATCATGCATGCACAAGTGACAAGTAGTGCAACATGATATTTGACATTGCAACACCCCAAATTAGACCCCCCATTGAGCTTCTGGGATGCCCAGCCCAGAAAGTGGTCTCCAGCTTGAATTGGTCCCTTCGGGCTGGGCCAAGCCAGGGAAGAGACTTGCAGTGGGTTGCCAAGTTGGCGAACTTCCTCAGTTCTTCAGTGACCCTGGAAACAAAAAGGAGAATGGGAACCAATTATTTTTTGGGCTTGGACCGGATTTTCAGTGGGGCAGCCCACCCAAAAAAAAGTGGGGAAAAAGAAAAAGATAAAGGGGCTCGGAGCCACTGAACCACGCAGTTTTTCTTTCTCCTTCGGCCAGGTTAAGAGCTGAGAGACCCTTGGGTTCCAACGCACCAGGACTGGTGGATGGAATTGCGACATCCGCTTCACGCACCCTTCAGAAACCCGCTGGTTTCTGAGTCGATTTCCCCCAACGTAAATACCCACAAACACTGGGAGTTGTTCAGGGTTTCTTGGGTGGTGCGAAGTGGATTTCGCCACCATCCACAGTATGAACCTCACTTGGGGGGGGTTTTAACCGTTGAACCTAGCAACTACTTACTGACGCGAATGGAACACCCAATTAACCCAGGGTTAAGCCCTTTGATTCTCGGCAGGTTGGTCCTAAGAAGTCGGATGCCGATGAACATTTTCGAGGGGACAGTCCGCCGAATCGATTCCAAGGCTGCGGCATATGAAAGTCAAACAACTTGAGTCACAATTAAAACCCGGTATTAAAATGGTCTACCCAGAACCATGTAAAGAATTAAGAAGGCTGGCTGGGACTGCCCCTTACTAACCTTCATCTACCTGGGTTTTGATTGTGGCTCACGTGTTGTTGAAAAACATGGGTCTGTCCTTTTTTGAGGGTACCCCTTGTTTGGTGGTTTTGGAGGGAAACCAAAAGGAACACCATCATTTTTTAGTTGTTTTTTGGGGTTATGGGATCCCATAAAAAAAGACACGGGCCCATATGCTCCTCCAAAAAGTGAAACTTGTGTAAACATGACAGGATTGGATTCACATAGTCACCCACGTGACCTTGCACCGCACGAAACCTCAAAAGAACTTTTCCACATCACAACATTGGAAGCGTCTTTGCGGGTCGTTCGCTCAGATGCGACCCAATTGACCAAGCGCTGTTCATCCGCAATTGGCTGATGCCATAGCACTAAAGCCCAGGAACTCAGGATATAAGAGAACAACATAATAAAAACGATCAAGTGTCCAAGAAAAGAAGTAGTAGGTACTTTGAGAGAGTCGTAATCAACACCTGCTTTCAACATGGTACCCAGAACCATGCAAAGAATTAAAAAGGCGGATGTCCGCATCCATTTGTGGCTGGGATTGTCTCTGTTGTCCAATGATTCGGGTTTTCAGGACTTGACTCACATGGGTTGACCAATATTGATTGCAAAAACAAAAAACATAATTGATATCTCGACCACTAAATGGGAAAAATGACCCTGGGTTATTTGGGGGCCAGGAATATTGATCAACCCCCACCCATGGGTTCTTTGCATGTTGTTGGGGAAACGGATGGAGTAAGCAATATGTGTGTGCCTTCTTTTCGAAATTAGACGCCAAATTAAATCGCGCAACTTGTGGTTTTCCTTGTGGTTTTCCTTTACAATCCCAAGATGGGGGTGCCTCAAAGGAGACAAACACCAACTTGGGGTTTTGAGGGCGCACCCAAAAAATCGACACACCAAATAAAGAAATAGAACCAGGCAGCTGCACCCATTTGGGTGTGGCTCCAAATTCAACAACTGGGAAATTCGCGGGATTGAGTCTACCTGTCCATTTACAAGGGACCGCCATTTGGGTATGGGTCAAAATTCAACCACCAGCAAACTGCAAGTTTTAGTCCATGTTTCCACTTACCAGGGCAACCCATTTTGGGGTTACCCTATTTCTGACCCACCCCCATTTTGGACCGATCCCGATTTTTGAGCCACACCCATTTATGGTCCCTTCGATGGGAGCGGTCTCCTGGTCCTCGCCGCAACGGGCTCGCAGAAACTCCTCGCGCCGAACAGCGGATCCGGCCTGACCCAAGGCCCAAGCTTTTAGAGCGCTTGACACGAAAAAGTAAACCATGAGAACCGGGTTCTGGAAACCATATGCCAGTCCGACGAAAAAACAAAGAGAAAACAACAAAACATGAGAACCGGGTTCTGGAAACCATATGCCAGTCCGTCGCATTTGTTACACCTGAAAATACCATTATCATGCAATCAATAAAAAAATGTAAAAATGTTTCCCAACAACAACCATGATTGCTCACCGATTCCTGGTCATTCACGATGCGTCCAACCAACAACCAGCCAGTTGCTGGTGAGTTTAACCCCACTCCAAACATCCGCAATTGCAACCTCCTCCTCCTCTATGGGGTTGACAGCCCATAGCCTACCTAGGTCCTCCAGCAGAGAGCTTAGAATAAGGGTTACCAACTTTTTCTGTAGTCTATTTTAGTAGGGGAACCCTCCCAACCAAAAAAGGGAGCTAAAAAGGGCACATAGCTGGGGGACCTAGCTACACCCCCCCAAAAAAAAAAAGGACATCCACTTGAGGAACTCCGAAGGACATCCATTTGAGTCCCCTAAAAACACTCTGAGCCCCCCAAAACATTTTTTGGCACATGGTCGAATGTCAAGGCAAAGGCAAACCTGCAAAGCTTCATATGTTTGGTAGTCCGCAGACATTCGGTATTTAGCTGGTTAAAGATTGACAGCGCCAACAAGCACCTGTCATTTCTTGTGTTTGGAGCAAGGTCCTATAAACTGAGCATCGAGTTCAGCATATCAAGAAACCAATCGATTCCAACTGGAGCTTAAATCCGGACATTGTTTACTCTCTACCATCGGACATTCGAACGCCGAGCTGTGAACACACGATAAGAACAACGGCTAGCTCGAAACTTCAGGTGTTGTGCATGATTGGGACTGAGCGTATGTGTGAATTTGCGCTGCCGGAGCATGGGTTGCGCACCAATTCCAGTGAACAAGTGTGGCTTGTGCATGGTCATCAAGCTGAGTTAATACAAACACACAGCCGGTGATTGTATGCATGTCATTGAGATTCTTGCTCATCACGACTTGAGCTTATATTGAACAAGCAACTCCATTGGTCTGCTCTAATCATATGGTTGTTCCTTTCTTGAGGGTATACCCCTTTGTTGAATGGTTTTGAACGGACAGCAATAGGAAACCACCAGTCCCATGTTTTGTGACAAACTCTTATGCGTAAGAGTCAAAACGGCTGCTTCTAAAAATCGGAGCTAAAGCGTCCGGTTGACTGGGTGTGTTTGATGTGGTTTAGAACCCCAACGTGGTTTTTCCCCAACAGCTGAAAGCGTTTTGTGGCTCGATGGGCCCAAATGCGCCCGGATAGGTTCAATCGGGGTGGTTTATTGAGGTGGGTGGTCCTAGGGATACTAGACCACCTGCGCTTTTCTTTAAAATAGGGAAACCAAAATGCGGGGCGGGGGGGAGTCCCTATTTCAGGACAAACCCATCCACAGGTCTGCTCAAATCACAAGTCAAATAGGTTGCTTGTTCAAATCTTCACACCCCCTTCTTCACAAACACCCCCCCTCCAAACAAACTTGTTTTTTTGGGGAAAGACTGGAATAGACGATTTTCTCGAGGTGTGGAAGGGCAAGGGGGGTGAGTGTGTTTGGGGGGTCCAAACGGAAAGGTATGAAAAAGCTACAAAGCTTTGCTGTCCAAGAAGCAGTCCTTGGGCTTGGGGAGTCAGCAAGCAGAAGGAGTTGATTCCGATCTCATTCTTTTCAACCATCGTTCTTTTCAAAAACCGATCGATCCGTTTCCCCTCAGTTTCGGATGGTTTTCTGGAAAGATTCGGATCCTTGGAAAGAATGGAAATGGAAGAGTCTCTTAGCAAAACGGGGTACTCAGGCGAGCCTCAGGGTAGGTCTTGCCCAGCCTCAACCTAGGCCCAACGACCGGCTTGGGCAAGCCGCACGGCCAAGAATTAGTAAGTGAGTTACCACTTGGGTTCTAAGCCCCCCTGAACGGGTACTTTTAAGTGGGCTATGACCTAGGCCGACCACCCAAGTACCAAATACCGTATAATATATATATATATATATTACACATGGGTGCGTCTTCTTCAGGGAACCCATTTTGGGATGGTTTTAAAGGGACACCCAGCCACCAATTTTCGGGGCTCCCCTGGAAAAACGGCACCTATATGCATATATATATATATATATTATGTAGGGGTTATAGCATTGATTGAAGTACCACCATTTCTCCTTGGGCTATGGTCTAAGAATAAACCCCCTGAATTCAGCCTGCGTGCACTTGTTGAGGCTTGGTGCCCTTTTCAGCTTCAACAAACAAAAGGTCAAACCGCCAGGGCCAGATGTTTTTTGGGGTCCAAATCACATTTGGGCGCATGCCAGGAACCTCTTGGTGGGACACAAGGCATCGTTCAACGTCTGGGTCGCTTTAGACGATACAACCCCCGGTATGGTATGGAGTTGGACACAAACTGAGTCTGTTTTGCGCAGCCTACTAAAAAATGAACAGAACCCCCCCCCCCCCGCCCAAAAAAACAACTAACCACTTGCCAACAACAATGAAGTGAAAAACCAATCCTTCCGCACGCCAAATGGTGTAGGATTTTCCCCATGAGTCGGAGGGGTCCATGTGGGATCCTTGCAGCGTCCCTGTCAACCCACCTCAAAAAGGGAACCCTCCAAACCCATACCTTGTAAATGTCGTATTATTTGCTGTTGATTGTAGATGGAATCCATCACTACTGGAACTTGTTCCGGGCCCTAAGCAAATGGAACCATTCGATTTATAAGGGAATCGTACAACAAGCTCTGGTTTCGTGTTGGATTCCCTTGGCACCAACCACTCTTTTTCCAACAATCATGGAAGTGAAGAATGAGCCGTTTCACGAGGATGGCAGTCTTCCGAAAGCCTCCTGTCCACTTTCCAGCATTGTTAGGCGGCAAGTTTGGCATGTGTTGCAGCCTTTCAGTTTGACAGCAACCTTGCAAGAAGAACCTGAGAAAACAAAACCTTCCAACATCTGAAATCAGAAGCATCCAACTAGGGCGCCTTCATGATGGGTGAGTTTTAACCGTTAAGCAGGACTAACTCAGGCATTGTCCTCACGAAGCAGGCCAGGTCAAGCAAGTTGTTGGAGCGTTGGGCACCGCAGATGTGGCCAAACTGTTCTCAGCCCCAACGATTCTAGGGGTTGATTCCGATTCCATTCGTTCAACCCGGCCGTTTTCCGGAGGTTATCTAGAAAGATGGGGGACCCCTGGAAAGAATGGAAATGGGAGGTACCCCTAGAATTCTTGCCCGTGCCGGAGCCCATGCTGACGACGTCCCAGTCAGGGTTCTGGTCAAGGAGACATGAACGGTGACGCAAAAAACTTTCACAAATAAATGTGCCATGGCAGGCAGAAATTGAAATTTGCAGGTCGTGCTTCATATTTAGTCTACCCAAAAATCTAAAGTAGGTTTGGAGATCCCAGATGCGAGGCATGGTTTCCATGAAGAAACCCTCATGGTTGTCTGAAATCCCTAGGGGTCCATGGCCACTGCTAGAAACTCGACCATGGCACATTTTATGGACTCCTGGGCCTGTTCGAGTGCGATCAGCTGGATATTCTACAGCTCCACTGTCCGCAAATTGAAGTGCACGGAATCCGACACGCACCCTGCAACCAGTTGCAACAAAAGACAAAAACATGTGCAACTCTACAACGGAATATGTTCATCATATGCTCATATGATGTGCATATACATATATCATGTATTGAAGCAGCTCACTTGCTGGATGAAGCAAATATACATGTCCAGGTCCTCGTTCCCTCAAGAGTCCGGAACATGCGAGGTATTCCGCATTGGTTCCAACTTTTTTCGCCTTGAGCCGCCCTCCATACCTATCTCTTCGCCAGACTGAGACTCTGCAAAGTTGACTGTTGGTCAAAAGGCGACTAGGTCCTCCAGTAGAGAGGTTAGAATTGCGTCACCAACTTTTTTCTGTATAATCTATTTTAGCAGGGGAACCCTCCCAACCAAAAAAGGGGCTAAAAAGGGCACCTGGCTGGGGGACCTAGGCAAAATGAAAGAAGCCCAAAAAGGGCTTCTTAGGGCAAGCAACTTAGTTGGGTCTGGCAATGCAACCAGATAATACCCAAACGTAAACATGCCAAGGTACGAACCTACGAACTTTTCACGAAATTTCGTGTAGAACTCAGTTGTTCAGTAACACTGGAAAAACAGGAACCCTTTTTGGGGCTTGGAGCATTTTAGTGGGGCAGCCACCAAAAGAAACAGGGGAAAATAATTGGAGCCACTGAACAACTGAGAACCTGGCAAAGGCATGACGTGTAAAAACCCGTCAGAAGTAACAACACAAGTCTCTTACCGCAAGGCTTGGTTGCATTGCCCCCATTGCCAGGCGTAAGCAAACAATTTGGCACTCACTTTGGACCTTCCCGATATATTTCAAGCGCGTCTTCCCTTCGCTTCCAAGTGGGGCTCCCGGGGCTCCGTTTTTTCGCGAAGGAACGTAGCGAGATTGAAAAATCAATGGATTAGTGTGTTCCTCGGATATGGATTGTGGATTTATGTGTGGATGTTTGCTATTATGTGTTGTTTTTTTGTTCTTCAACTTGTCTAAAACAAATGTGGATGAATACTAAGTTATATGACCCAAGCCCAGAAATATAATCCATCCACAGTCGGATGTCCAAAAATGAGTGTTGGACGGTACATACCTGTACCTTTGTTTACAGGTGACTTGCTGAATGGGCTGTTTCACTCGCAATGGGTGAGCTAGTCAGCATTTGTCCCTGGCGCCAGGCTATAAATTGGTGTGCTCAGTTGTCTCTTAATGTTTACCCCGGATTAATAAACCCCTGGTTGATTAATAGGGGGGGTGTCCCCTTTTAGTGGGGATTCAGACCACTTTTCGAGGGAACACCCCCCTAATAGTGGGACGGGTTTATTAATCCTGGGTCAACATCAGTCCAGAAATGCAAAAGGTTGACCTATTGGGGCCATCGGACCAAACTCGGTGAACTATGAGCCATTTCAGGCCGATTCGCTTGGGGCGAGATTATGCTTCACCATTATTCTTGGCTGGAATTAGGACCCCAGCAAAAACAAACTCTTTTGCCTGCCTAGTGGAACACAAAGGGAACCCCCCCCCCAAAAAAAAACAAAAAAAAAGAAGGGGAACTAATTCTGGGGAAGTATTGATGCGTTGTACATTGGCCTATGATTGAGACAAAGTGGACTAAATGCGGGTTGTCTTCCTTCGCATGTTGCCAAAACTCATCATTGGCTTTCAAAGCGTTGCAAACAGCCCAGCAACACCATAGGGTTCCCTTCCCATTCTGCTTTGATCGTATACTCTGTCTTCTTATCTCTCAGAGGAGCGCCACTACCTTTCCGAGACAACGCTAGTGGATGCAAGTAAACATAACGCCAATAACCAAAAGAAACACACACAAAAACATAAGCACGAAAAAGAACAACAACACAACAATTTAGATAAAGAACACGTAAACACGGTAACACAATAACACACCGAACACTGCACACAACTAAGTGGCTAGGCAGCTAACTAACTAGCTAGCTAGCTAGCTAGCTAACTAACCAAACAAACAAACAAACAAAAAAGGAAGCACACGCACGTACACACACACACATATGCGAGACCCCCTCCAAGTGGTTGGTCACTTTGGTTTGCTTTCGACAATCCCAACAAGGAACACCTATTTTGAGAAAGACCCATTCATTCATTTAAGGTATGCTTCCTTACCAGGCCTTGCGGGAGGGGGGCCGAATCAATCAGGGCCATGCGTAGTTTGGGTGTTAAATTGGGAGGGTCTTGAAAAAGGAGATACCCATTCCCTTTTGGTCTAGTTTTGGGACAATTCAAACCGAGCACCCATGCAAAATTGTCCATTTCTTGGTCAATCAAGCTTCTGAGTATGGATCCGATTTCAGCTTTACAGGAACTAGGAACTAAACTGGGTGCTAATCGTCGCCATTCAGGAAAAACCAAAAATAGTCGGCTTTGGTGTTCACCCAGCAAATCGTAAGACCGGTGAAGATTTGGTACACTGAGCTTGCTGCCCCATGTTGAGTTTGGGCGGCGTGACCACCCGGTACAGCACAGTTGCCTGCTACGAGCTCTTCTCTCTAGAGAGGTTAGAACAAGGGTACACTTTTTTCTGTAGTCTATTTTAGTAGGGGATCCCAACCACAAAAGGGGAGAGAAAGAGCACTGCTGAAAAACCTAGCAGCTCTTGTCTGGAGGGGGGACAAGAGGGGGGACAGACAAGGGAGCACATTTGGCGTCCCAGTTGCCCAACCCTGGCTCAGCAAGGTGCCACACGACTGGGTCTTTGGGTCCCCGCCGGGAAACCGCCCGTTCCCCTTCAGTCTTGTGGTTTGCTTTGGTTCTTGTGGACCGTATTTTTGTGGTTTGGTGTCTTTCTTGACGGCAAATGGGACTCCACGCCGCCGAACCTCACCTCAGCCCTGTTCGGGGGTGGTTTACAGGAAAGCCTGAGAAGGAACACCCACTTTCTTGGTTGACGTTGGAAGGGGGAGCAAACAATTAAAGTTTAGCAGTGAAGTGGGGATTTCACACTCAGCAAGCATGTAAAATGTTTCCCAACAACACCCACTTTTTTGGGGTACCGATTCCTAGTCTGAAACACACCGTAACGTGGCCACTTGGAAGTGTCCCAAAGACGCGCAAACACTTTCGTGGGCGAATGGTGTGGCTGCCTGTCTGTCTGTCTGTCTGCCTGCCTGCCTGCCTGTCTGTCCCTACAGTATGGACGAAATCCTGCACCACTTTGAAACCATGGGAAGCCATTTGTTGTTGGTATTTACAGGAAAATCATCATTAGTCAGGCAGTGCGAAATGGATGTCCACAGTATGTTGTGTTAAGTACAACCCCCAGGTACGTGACCTTTATCACGAGGGAGCTACTACACCTAGGTGACAAGTGATAGCCGTCATTTACCAAGTGATAGCCGGTGGGTGATTCAATCCCCCGTTTGACTCACTTTCTGAGTGGCTTGGTCCAAAAAGTCAAAACCTGTTGCTTTCTCTGAGGCATTTGCCATGAACAACCTAGCTTTGCAATATATACCCTGGAAACAAGGCCTTGCAAAGGGTTTTCCAGGCTTTACTATAACTATAACCCAAGTTAACCAAGTAGTGGAACCCTTCTACTTTGAATAATTTTGGGAATCGGTTTGGGCACTGCTGCGTGTTGGTTAACCTTTCAAAGGTGACAGGGCTGCCGCATGACGCTCCAAAACTGCAAGAGTAGAGGTGGAAAGACGCTCTTTGGTTCAAACTGCTTCGCCCAACCCACATACAAAAGGGAGATTACCTTTTGGGGACACACGAACAAAAGGTGGATTCGCTTCGGTTGCCTTGGTGAGGAACATGCCGTAACTCGCGTGTTGA